CTCTCTTTTGGCGAAATGATGTGCATGTGTTCGATGAGGTTGCAACTGTCACTGCTGGGAACCTCATTGATCTGCGTGCGCGGTGCCTCACAACAGTGCAGTGAATCGAAGGAGCCACCCCTGACCGTTGGGAAACTTTGAGACAATGGTCGAAAATTGGCACGAACATTCTTGCACAACTAGGCTTTCTGGCCCCTTGGGCGTTCTCAGCCAGGCAAATGTGATATGTCACCACCTGGTGGCAAACACATGGGTTCTGGTGGCATCGGTTCTACCATTACCTTGAATTGAAGGAAAACAGAAATGAGATGAAATAAGTAACAAGGACTCTGCTGTCAATGAGAAAGGCATCCAAATCCTTGCAAACTCAAACACATGCAGACAGTCCCGCTGCCCCGCTCCTTCGATTCTGTCTTTGATGGCAGCCAGGAGATAGTACCACCCAAGTCTCCAGCATCCAAATCTCGATCTGGGAAGCTGATCCTAGAGCCCACGAAAAGGATTGAGGATCTCTGGCAAAAGAATCCTGGTTCTGTGAAACACATCCACTACCAGCCCACTGCGCCGCAACGCGCTGCACCGCGTAGCGCCACGCATCTGTAGATCAAAACATTTCCGGTCCCGCTAACACTGCCATCAGCATCATCAATGAGCAAAGATGTTGGCCTCGCTTGGCGGCAATCTACTGATGTGTCTTGTCGACTTTTCTTGGATCAAGTGGTAAAGTTTGAAACATCACAACTCTAGGGAAAAACCAAGACAACCTCAGTTTCAGGTTAGCTCGGTGGAGGCCATTGATTGCTATTAGGTTGGAGGCCTACTGGGCCAGTGCTAGTAGGTTTTGTCAACACGACAACTCCAGCTCTCTGGGACGCCAAACGTGGTTTGCTCGCCCAAGCTCGAGCGGATGTAGACGACCACGTGGGTCCGCCTTCAGTTGAGGAGCCCTTCGATCACTTGTAACAATTGCGTGACATCGCTAGTAAAATACCCGTTGAACAACGCACTAAAGGTTGAACTCAGGAGTCTATTAAACAATGTGTTTTCGGGCTGAGGGCAATTTCCTTATTTTTCTGTGTTCCAAGGCTGGATTCAACTGTTTCGTGCAAGCGTATCCACTTCAAAAATCCTGGACGTATTGACCCTTGCGCCCGTTTTCAATCCGACTTCCTTATTTAATTTGCTTCCTGCGCCTGACATATCATCTGTTCTTCAAATTCGGCACTACCATCACCCCAAGGTGATTTTCTGAAATCCCGGACCAACGTGATTGACACGTGAGAAGGGAGGGTACAAAAGCCAGCCTTAGACACGGAGTAGTCTTTCAACGCGTTTTCTTTGCAGCTGCTTGGGGAGATCCCATAAAATAGCACCCCTTTGCTGGTGCCATGTTTTCTTCCCTATCACTTTGACAAAGCAATCACAAAGGGCACCGCCACACATGGCCTTTGTCATTGCGTGTGCGTTTCGGCCCACCGTCTCTTGGACCGCTTGGATGGTGCTCCAAGCGTTAGCCGCGCGTCCCGAAAGTAGCCATATCTACACAGAATTGGACAGGCCACTTAAATGGTATCCTTGCCACTCTGTGATGCTAATGATGCTATTTTGCATCACTCGCATCACTAAGGCCCCATAAAAACATGCATTTTGATTATACTTTGGCCAGGCACCACCTCGCAACCCCCCAAAACGCACTTCGTTCACCTATCAAGCGCTCGAGCCTAACCTATCGGCTGGCTTTCGTAAATTACAAGAGGTATCTAAATTTCTAAATTTATATGTTGTGTGGTTGACCCCTAGGAAAAAGAATCATCAAACGGGTATTATATGGTGCCACTGGCCATCTTTGGAAGTTCCAAATTTGCTACTTGGAAATCCAAGTAATTACAATACCCCAAATATTCAGCAAGTTATCAATACCTGAAGGTCTCGCCTCAAGCAAACAATTGAACAAAAGTCCAAGCTCATTGCGCATGGTCCTTTTGCTTAATTCGACGACACATGTCTGGGCTTCTGGCCCTCCTAGGGATGTGTCAAGCGAAATATTGCTGGGAAACTCCGAGGCCTGGGAAACACCAAGGCTGGATAGAGCAGAAGATAAAAGCATAAGTAATTAGAAAAAAGTAATATATAAAAAGGAAGTTGAAGAGATCTACACACAAACGCCACCTGTGTTTGAATATGACTCTGACTCAATGGCAAACGGCTAAGGCTTGGACCGCCAAATCATCACCTTTGGAGGTGCGACTTATGAACAAAGTTCTGCGGATGGTGTTTTGTGAGTCTGGTCTGGACTTGTTTCTAAATAGCTTCTTGTTACTAGTAGTATGGCCAGGAGCCGCTAGTAGCGTCCTTGCTCCTAGTAGCGATGCCAGGAGCCCCTAGTAGCTTCTTGCTCCTAGTAGCGATGTGAGTCTGGACTTGTTTCAGCTAAACTAAATTCAATTCAATCCCAGCCACTGTGGTTGTACTCGATGAGATACTCCCGATTGCCAAAGGCACCTGTGCTGCTTTCCTCAAACAGGGAAGGTTGAAATGTCCAAAAAAAGGTTGGAGGCATTTGCTTGACCTGTCCAGTGCTGTAAGATTTGACCAAACTATTCCAAGCTCCAAACAATCCAGGCAAAGTCAACGTGGTAGGCGGTGATCTGACACTCACGGCAAGTGGCTGACAGTGCCCCCATTCACGAGCTATTTGTCTGGATTCTCTAAACAGGCCTATAGTCCAGGCAAAAGCACAACGCACAACTTTGTCCTTCCATAGATGCTTTGCGTCCAATACGTTCTGACAGGAGTGTTTGCCCATAGCTATGTGGCCTTCGCTTTCTCCTCAGGCGCTTTGAAGGAAATTGAGCCTCCTACCTGGCAGCAGTGCAAACGAACATGTTGCCATGAAAGCTTTAAAGCACAAAGCTCAAGTAGTCAAACGGGTATTGACACCAATTTGCCGCGAAGCATTTCTAACTGATTGCCAAATAGAACATGTCTTTTCTCATTTCCTGTATATACCAACAAAAGTAGGACGTCTTCGAACAAGACCGGTCTCTTTGGTATACAGTACTTAATGTGCTTACTTTTTGCTTCTTTGATCAGCCCTGAGAGGCCTCATCCACATCAAGGTCGTAGTCATCCAAAGTCCTCAGCATTCTTAGAAGCTGCTTGGATTTTTGGCATGTAGAGTGTACTCAGGATCACTGAACTTTGGTAGTTTATCTTGCTAGGACTCTCTTTCTTTCGCTCCTGAAGATTCATTTGAAACTCAAAAGCCGGTGGTGGTCATTGCTCTGAGCGACTGGCAAATTAGTGACGCTCAAGCCAACATCCGAGATAGAGAAAGCCTTGCTTGGCTTGGGCAAGAACTTAGTTTCAGGGAAAGTCCTTTTCCTCTGCTGCCAAGTAAGAAAGTATGTAGGCAGGATGGGACTTTGTAAATGAGCAAATGCGTTCTGGCATCGCTGGTGAGAGAGAGAATGGTAGTCAAAATGAACGTCATGTTTGGCCACAACGTCCATCTGGTTTGTGAGATACTTCAACTGTATGGCCAGGCATCCCCACACTCGGTGTTTGCTGCTCTGAAAAGCTAGACTGTGCATAAAGCAGCAAATAGCTCCGAGTGCCTCCAGTGCAATAGTTTGAGGTGTCTCAAACATCAAAACTTGAAAGCCATCATGTCACATAGTTTCTTCTTAACGAAGTCTGGATAATTGGTTGGTATGGCCCGCCCGCCTGCATATGAGTCAATGGGCACATAGACTTGAGTAGATCCAGTGCTCACAGTAGCCAGCTGGCAAAGCGAGTCAGCGATCATCTTCAACAATCTAGTTCAGTTGCTACAATTGTACATACTGTACATACATGTGTATGCATATCTATACACAATTTTAGTGTGGTACCCGCTGGGCCTACCGTTTCAACTCAACAAAAGCCCGTTATTTACAATGTCTTATACACAATTAAGGGGTGCACTTGTTGGGAAGATCTTTGGTCCAGGGGCCCGCGCGCTAGATTCGTTTTGTGTGAATTCCACATCCAAAATCCGCGATGCCTATAAAACTGAACAGAAATTAAACAAAATTTGAAGTACCCCAACTGGCAAAGAATACCAATCCCTAATATCTGACCTTGGCAAAACCTCGACAGGCTGAAAAGGATCAAATCCTCTTTGCAACCAACACAATGGCGTTGCATGTCTTCAGCATTTGCAAAAGGCTCTCGGAGAATTGACTGTATAAGTGAAATAAACGAACTCAATGATTCAATTCTTGTAGTTGTTTGAATTCCGAGGAGAATAATTCTGAGGAGAATTGTATATAGTATAAACGAATTCAAAAGAACTAAATGAGTTCTCACGAAAGCTGTCTGACTCGGCGCACCTGAGAAGTACGGTCGCTGCCTGTGGTGTCGGAAGCTGCATAGACGTTGTACCTGTCCAAGTATGGACTGTCAATCTGCTACTAACGATGGCCTCCAACCTAGCAAAAGGAACCTAATAGTCATAGTGATGCCCTCAAACCTACAAGCAATGGCCTCCAACCCAATAGCGATGGCCTCCCTCCAAAAGTAATGAGCCGCCCTGCGCAGCGGAAGAGGCCAGCCTGGTGATTGTGCTGTCGGCCTGGCTTGATGTGTTGATCTCAAAGTCAAGGTAGCCACCGAGCCTTAGACACATAGCCCCTGCTATTTGGCGAATGAAACCAAGGGTCCTTTATGTCCTTTATGCATCTTTATTCGCTCCAGAAGAGCTTGCACAAGTGATCGCACAGTTTGTGCTTGTCTTCAGGAAGCTGAGGGCTCTGCTGGCCTTCATCCAGATCCAAATCGTCAAAAGCCGTGATTGACACTTCGACGTATTCATCCTGAGTGCCAGGTCATTGGTATGATCCTTTTACCTTTTGCTTGTTTCTATTTTAAGCGGTGAGGTGCTCCCATTTGAGGAGAAAGGGAGGAGCAAGTTCAAAGCGCAAGCTCTCAAAAATTGTGCCCTCCGCAGCTCACTCGCTCTACAGCACGGGCTGCCGGGCGGTGAAGGCAACAGCTTTGGGCGTAGAGGCTTCTGCCAGCGCGCTGGCGGTGTAAACCAACAAGTAGCTGAAGCTGCCCAAAGCTGTCCTTAGATTAGCATGCCCAACTGCAAAGGCCAAAGGCATGAAAGCCATGGCTAAGTTCTCATAAATCCAAGCTTTTGTGAGAATTTACAAGTAATTGATACAGTAGTTATATCTATGATTTGCAGTTATATATACAAAAATGATCGCATTCTTGCGTTGAATGTGACATCTGGGTTGCAGGCCCATCAGGCACTGTCAGTTGAGAGCTAGCGCTGTTTGCTTGGCCCACCAATGAGCGGCCTGGTCGCACAAGCGCAAATCAAAAGAGTTGAGAACTGTTCGCAGCAACTTTCATTGAATGGACAGAAAGCAGCACCATTCTGCCTGTGCCAGTTGCGTCTTCTGCCAAGTACACATAGTACCCCTGCAGCTGGCTTGTGTCCTGTGCTGGCCGTTGAGGGAAAACCGAGTGCCGGGATCGATATGTTCATTGTCATGCTTCGATAATAGAGGTTGGGAATGTCTGCGTCAAGTACTCAATTCTGTAAATATGTGCTTGTCCTGCAGCACAGCTTTCCATGCCGTGCAGTGGTGGTGATATTTCAGTGTTTGAGTCTTGTTGTGACAGCTATGAGTGGGAAACTTTTGACTCGCAAAGTTGACAAAGAGGAACGGTCCGTCGGAGGGGTCCATGTCACCACTCCTCCTGGAGCACGTGTGCTTCAACAAGGTCTTTTGGACACATGATTCAACACAAAGTCGTCTTTCACATCACATCTCTAGATCATCATTGCTAACCTAATAGCGATGGCCTCCCCCTAGTAGCGTCCTTGTTACTCCCTTCATAAATATCTAAGGACAAGAAGGGCCAATCAAAGAGAGGACGAAAGCAGCTTCTTCACAAAGACACTGTGAACTTCAGTGATCCAGCATAATTATAGCACAAGCAGTCTTCGCCGAGGCTGCTGCCTATCTCATAGCGGTCTAGGTCACTATCTGCAAACACCACATTGGTTGCCTGCCAAACAAGCCGCACACTCAAGCCACATCTCACCAAAACCCGTGGGAATCGACACGCTCATGCATTAAGCCTCTAAGCTTGTCTACTTTGACCGCGAATATTGCACTTCAATCATGCAATGGGCACAATGGACACAGCATGGTGCATTCTATCAAGCCTGGGACATTTGCTTGATTGGGTTCCCCGGCAACGGCAACAGCATCCTGGAAGGCCAAGCTAGCTGGTGTGCTTTGCTCCTGGCAGAGTTTGGTTCGCAACCTCTACTGTGAGGCAGCAAGGCCTGATCATACATCTCTTGAGCCCTCCCGACAACCCTTTCCTGCCAGCTTGTTTCGGTATAGACCAGGAAGTGTGTAAAGTTGAGGCGAGGTGTGTTGGCTGATAGCTGCAGCTCATTGGTTCCTGAACAGAATGCTTTTTGAAAAGAATCCTCAAGCAATGTATGCAAGGAAAAGCAAATCCAAATTTTCAAGCTTCTGGCCGACCGGCACAGCGGTCTCCACCTGAAGAGTCAGGCAAACATCGAAAGGAATCTCTTTGGACCTGTGGGAACGGTGGCTCTTTCTTCGGCCTGAGATCGAGCTGTTCCCACAGCATCCTCTGCCAGGTAGACCAAATACCTTTGGGTATAGACCTTACTGTCAGCACCAAAGCACAACACGGAAATGTGACAAGCCGAATCTAAGCTGTAGGCCACCCATGCTGGAGGACTCCATGTGATGATACCACCCAGTTCATTCAGGTCCAAGTCCTCTCATTCAGATTCTCAAACAACACACGACTTCATAACTTGGACAGGTAAGTCGTAGTCATATGTCAAAAACAAATCAGGCCTGGCCCGTGAAAGCAACATCTGAGACACTCTCCGTCACATCATAGAAAAGGTACGGGTCACAGCTTGACCTGCAGGGGTTTTCTGAAGAAACACCTTTGATATGACTTTTACTTGTACCCAAACAAAACTGATACTGCAAACCTTTCGACATGAATCTCACTGGGAAACCCTGCTGCTCCACGCCAGCTGAGACCAGGCAAACCTCACTTGCAACCAGCTGGACGAAAGCACTTGTGAAATGGACAGCTGTTGGAACTCACGAAAGACCGAAAGACATGTCGTTCTGGGAAGCTTGCCAAAAGATGTGTCGAGCCATTCGTCTCCGTGTCCAGCGGTATATCATACTCCTGCAGATTCCGGAAAAGAAACATCTAGCAAATAGGGTAATCTTCAAACCCTGGATATGATAAGAATGTCTTGCGCGATCGTCTCCACTTGACAACTCTCAGTCCGTATTGGAGACGCCGCTGAGGTCTGCCAGCTTGATGAACTTCGACACTGCCTCATGCAGCCGGAAAGCGGGACAAAGAAGTCGGGGTCAAAGGGACGCTTCAATCACGGCTGGACATGACTGATTTGGACATTGACACGGTTGGGTCTTGGTGGAGGTCGACAAGCTAGCAACGAACCATTGGGTATGGCAGAAAAGTGTCTCTATTGCTTACATCAGGCCAACACTCTCCTCTGCTATCTTTATAATTGCTTCAAACCGCCCTTAAGGTGTGCACATCGCCAAGATAGAGCGCGTATCCTGAAACCTGGTGTGAAGGTCTTGTTGGTTTCAAACAGTTTGACAATATAAATATCACTGTAGACGATATCAACCAATGAAAGAGGTCGTGCAAGTCTTGGTCTCTTAGGCTCGGCCTGTGCCAGTGTGGCTTGGTCCCAGGTTATGTTGCCTGCAACCTGAAAAAAAACAATGGGATTTAAACGTAAAACGGGACAGGTAGTCGCAATTTGAAGACTGGATAGATGCTGCAACAAATATCTGGATCAAGGCCAAAATCAGGCCTGTCCAGCATCCACATCCACATCCGAAAAGGATATATTACCAGCCTTGGAAAGCTCATTGTTCTTGCTGCATGTCATAGATTTGATTTCAAGTCCAACAAGTAGCTGAAATCTGCTCGTCCACAAGAACAATCGTCGCTGGAGTGGACTGCTCCTCAAGACTTGACCTGAGCGAAACGGGTATTCCGAGTCAAAAACAAAAAGGCCCAAAACATAAGGCTCAGAGATGCTAGAGGGAGATCCAAGGCTTTCTGATCCAAAAGGACACTGTGCTTTCTGGTGGGAATCCCCAATTCTTGAATATGATATGTAAATTAGGTTGTGGCGATTGGAGAATGTTTCCATGACACTGTCTCCAGACGAGTTTGCGTTGAGCATTGGCCACTGAGTTTGCAACTTGGCATAGACACCGATATGCGTCTGTGACTGCGCTATAGTCACAGTGGAGAAAGACACCTGAGCAAGTGGCAATCAATCTCTGAGAACTCCACTGTACTCTCTCTTTACTGGAAGGACCAACCCGTCTCTGGTTAATCATGAGAATGTCAGCGCTTTGCCTGCCTGGTTGGTTCCCACTGCGACATGGCTACCCAGCTGTGCTCGCGTGCTGCAAAGACTGCCGGAGCACAGGTAGGTACCTGGCCACAGCTCCGACCACAGGGAATGCAAATCAAAACAGCCATTTGCACAACATGGCACAAAAAGCTAAGCTTCTCACGATAGCCAGTCACTTGAGAAGTATCTGATGGAGGAGTCCAAGTTACACTACCTCATCACTATCAGAATCAGAGCTCCATAGACTCGAAAAACTATGTCAAGAAATCCACAAACTGCCTCAGAATTTTTGTGTGTCTCACGAATATCTCAGGCTAGCGCCAGCAATCTCCAACGCATCCACGTCATTGTCAACGAACCCAACATTTGAGACCTGCACTTGTTTGGAACTGTTCAAAAGGACAATCCTCACCTGCCACCATCTGCAGCATGGCGCATTCTCTATGGCATCCAAAGAGTCCGATGTAACACAAGAAACTGGGTTCCCAACACTAGCCGATGTATCGGAAATTCCAGTGGCCGATGGCATGTCTTGCTCCTGCATCTACGCCAAGTTTGGAGCGCATTGCACACTGGTGTGCTTGGCATCATTTTGAGCATAGCATGTCGCATAAACACATTCTGCAGGCCGGGGATCTGGCTCCCATGCTAGATTCGGTGTAAACTAGAACGTAGCTGTACCTGCCCAAGCATTCACCAAGTCAGAAGAAATGATGCGTGACATAACCCTCGTCCATGGGCAAGTGGAATTTGCCCAATAAATGCGACTAACATGAAGCCCCAAACAGCTGAGTGTCAGGAGTCAGAAGACTAGAAATGCATCCATGTTGGAGTTCTGGACTTGTAAGCCCCTCGCAGTTGAAGAGCACTGTCAACATAAGTGAAACCTTGAGCTGAAGTGAGTTCAGGATGCGCTTGGTACTCTGATCAGTTTCAGGCCGGGGCTATGATTGCCTGGGTAGGTGCTTCCAACGAAGCTGCGACCAGTGCCAGTGGCGTCGGCAGCGAGGTACACCTTGCGACTGAAATCAGAAAAGGCACAGTTGTCCCATTTTAACCTGGAAAAATCAAGCAAGATCTGGATTCAACACTTTAACAACTGGACTAATGCGAACCAAGCAAGCACGGCGGCTCTTCATTCCTCGCCGACCCTCACACCAAGCCAAGGACATTGTATTGCACTACTTCACTGTCATTGGCAGGGGCCGTCCACCTGGCGTGGGAGCATAATGCACCTCAAGGACACCTGAGCACCTACAAACATAAGTGGCTGGATAAAGGAAAGCAAGCAATTCAAGCAGGGGTGGCTGGATGACACCGCCCAGTTCGCCCGCATCCAACCGTTGATCCTGGAACAAGTGAGCGTGGTCTCAGAATGTATCAAAAAACTGTCCTACACATGCCCCCCAACTACAAATGTTTCTTTATGTGTTTTTCGTGGAGGAACACATACATACCAACCGATATGAAAGTTCCCTTCAATTGACCGAGAATTGTAAAAAAAGAAAACATAGTAGAGTCACCTTGGAAGCTCGAGTGTTGTGTGAATACCAAGGAAAACTGGAAAACGTGAAACGTGAGTGTATCTGTGTGTGTGTAACCCTTGGAGAGTCATAGGGAGCCTTTTGGCTTTTATACTTGCACCGGGCACAGGCCCAGAGTGGATACCTGTGCCATTCCACGATGGGGAGCGGAAATTGATCACCTCCGTGTACCAGCTGATGGTTTGTGGCGTCACGCACTCGTCGATCGAACCTCTTGATGAAACTTTGACGCCTTAGGGCCTTTGAGACTTTCGAGGTTCCTTTCCATGGTTGGACTCCTTTGCACTTGTTTTACCCAGGAACTTTGTTCACCTAGGCTTCTGTGTGGCATGTGGCATTCAGACCGTACATACTAAAACCTCGACTGTGTGTGTGTGTTTGTGTCTACAGATTGTCCTGCATGCAATCTGAATTCTGTCGGCATCTGCATTAGCAACTACAAGAAATTGTGTGAGTGTCAGCCGTCAGGAGACACCATCCATCATGCACATCTGCAGATCTCGTCCATCTTGGGCTGGGCTTCCCAGCTATGAACAGAGGTGATTGGGGTGAAAAGTCCAAGTCCGGCAGCGACAGAGCAACAGGGCTTGACTGCAAGGAAGAGGAAGACCTCAGATTTTGCTGGTATCTCAACTGACTCAACTATGTGGACAAGTCACCACGAAATACTGTTCCCTAAGGAACTGGCTGAGAATAAATAAGAATCTCTGTGTAAGAAGCATTGGTGGAGACCTAGGCAAGGGCTTTGACTTGTCAGGCTCACAGAATGTTGAAAGCTTCTGAAGTTTAGCTAGACCCTCTGTATTGAATCATTTGCTCCCACACTGTGCCCCGAAGTTGGAGATTGAACAGGGTCCCCTGCTGGCAGCGTATAGCTGTTGCTGCCAACAGACAGCTCTGCCACTTTCACAGCTGCAATCCCATCATTCAAATACCTCTGCCGCATGCAGGGTTTCGTCTCCACACGCAGCAAGCTTTGTCTATCTGAACACTTCTAGAAACAATGACCCTACTGAGGCAGGAACAAATGATACGCAGACACCTGCACTCGAAATTCAATGTTGAAAAGGCAACGTGACAAGCTGAGCTAAATTCTAGCAATCTTGACCAATGATTTGAAGTCCATCAAGTTGCTTTGCCAATCGAAGATTCTGGGCATCACTTAACGCTCGCCTGCGAGAGATCCAACGGAGGCGTCCAAGATATAGGTCCTTGGCTAACAAATCTGATTCATTGGCGCGCGCTCTACAGCCAAGGGTTGGTCTATAGAGATTGCAAATCACAGCTTCATGCACGCCCCTGTTTCCGCTCAAGCCCCAAGTCTTCCCACTACATAGGTCTATGCACCTGTAGCCTCAACCCATGTGATCCAGTTTTAAGATTCAAGCAAGGACTTAGAGAATTGACACAAATTTCTGCAGTGTCAAATGTGTCTGCTGTTGAACTTTGTACTGTGCAGCGGAACTGAGAACATAGGTAAGACTTGACTAGTGTCCTCAGCTTGGTCAGCCCAACACCATATTGACTAGCTCATCGCCAGTAGGTTGGAGGCCATCGGACTAACACGACATTTGGCTAGCTAAGAATCGCCAATGGAATGGGATTCAGCAGCGCATGGTAGAGTTAATTTGTGTGTTACTGTAAACCTCCTGAGCGGAGGGCCGCCCGCTCCTGACAAGAGATCTGCTCATCGATCTGAATAGGCAAATGTTATGTAAATCAGTGGCCCAAGCCTTGAACTCCACTACTTTCTGTCTACTGTACAGCCCTGCAGCTTTCCATCCGTAATTCGCAAAAGAGTTTTTCAACAAGTGGCCAGCGATGTCTCCATCGTCCGGATCAAGATCAAAAAAATACGGTGAGGTCCTCAGATCAAAGCATTAAAACAAACGCACCAAAAAGCTCTAAGCTGCCTCTGAATGAGCAAATGGTGGTATACAGATTCAACAATTCTAGGGATGCTTCAGAAAAGTTGGAGGTTAGTATTGCTCGATCCTAAGGCTGAGACACACTCCCATCGGTGTCATTGACCGCCTGGGCAACGGCCGTGATGGTCCGACTTGTGCACGAGACTTGGCTCAAGTTCACAGTCAACTTGGTCACAAGTTGCTGAGACTTCAGCGAGAGTGTGCCTCAGATGTTCTACGTTTTTATGCCTGGGTATGCTTGGACTTACTTTCACAAATAAATCGGCCCTGACATGTTCTCTTGAATCTGTACAGGACTTCCAAATAACAACCCAAGATGCGGTGTGTCCTGTTCACCATTCTCGTTGGCAGAATGAACCATCCAATGAGTGTAGACCTGTGAAGCCTTAGACATGGACTGTGGTCTCATGCAACTGTCAAGGCTTCAATCCTGCGCAAGAAACATTGTAAAAATTAAAGTGACCTGAGAAGGGGGGGAACCTGAGAAGGGGGGGAACGAAAGCCAGCAGCCGCCAGACGAGAGGGTCATTTGCTACATAGCAAAAGGTTTGGGAGAAGGTTGCGGGGCAGGTCTATGAGGAGGTTCTGGAGAAGGTTCCGGAGCAGGTTCCAAAGCAAACAAGGCTCCAGAGGAGGGCTTGGACAGCGAAGAGACTGTCTCAGTGGCGGTTCTTGCTGTTGGGGACTTTCCTTGGGCTTGTGCCACTGATCCGCCCAAAAAATAATCATACGTCGCAGCTACACCCTTTTCCCAGAGACATAGAGACACAGAACCATAGAGACATAGAGACACAGAGTCATAAAACACAGAGACATCAAACACAGAGAAATTGCTATCTACAGGGGGTCCTTTTCTGATAGCAACTTGTCGCTGCCAACCAATTACCATACTTGCCCCAATACATCCAAGGAGACTTCTCTCACAGGATGACTAGGAGGATGGCAGGAACTATATGTCTCAGCATTGGTGTCACCAACCGTGATCTAAAAATATGGCATAGATCCGTGACTATAACCAATCCTTAAGCAGCAAGTTCTTCACGCCACCAAGTTGCTATCTACACGGGCCCCTGTTCTGATAGTGACTTGCCGCTGCCAACCAACAACCATACTTGCGCCAATACACACAACCAGTATCTATCTATCTATCTATCTATCTGTCTATCTATCTATCTATGATCTATCGATCTATCTATCTATCTATTCTGTATCTATCTAGCTGCGCGGCCAGCCGGAAGCGCTCGACGGTACAGGTAAAGTAGAGACTAGGATGGTTGCTCTGTACATGGGTGCCTGTCTCCACTCCAGTGCTCAGTGCCCATTGTCCAAATAGCCTGAACAGCCCTTCGTGATGCTAATGATGCACTACTCGGCGCCCATTGCATCACTCGCATCAACAGACCCCATTTTCGCTGCTTTTCTGACCCTCGCTTTGGAGCGCTCTCCCCAGGCAAGCTCCGGGTTCACCCTCTCAAATGGTGCCTTTTTGCGGCCTACCCCCCTCACACCCCCTTTACTCACTTCGTTCGGTCTAAGAGCTCAAGCCTAGCCTATCGGCTGGCTTTCGTAATCAAATCACAAAATTCCAAAAATCATAAATGCCTGCAAATTCAAACATTCTTCTTCAAAAGAACACACTAAAAGGCTTGGCCCAAGCACAGAAAATGCCACACAAATCACCGGAGACCACCAAACATCGCAACGGCTCACGGGAAATCACTGCAAAAGCCGCATCACTACAAACCACCACAATCACCAGATTCCACATTACCGCTCGAAGAATCACAGCACAAGACACACACTTAGGATAGGGTATACTAAACTGAAAGCAGTGCCACACGCCGGCCTAGGGTTCCATTTCCTAAGGGAACAGGTAAGGAAACCTAAAAGGAAGAGGAGGTCTAACAAGTTCAGCGAGGCCATAAAGTCAAAAGGAACCGCCGAACGATCGACCGACAGAATGACGTCGTCCGCAGAAAAGCCAAGTTCATCACCGCTGCATTAGCCGCTTACTGCAAAACACAGAATTGGAACAGCTTGTCCATTAAGTAGGTTTC